CACAATGAGGAAGACAATGCTTAACAAACCAAGGATGAGTGACAGAAACCCAAGATCCCTGAACCTTCAAAAAATAAAACATTTTTAATAACAACAAAATTAGAGCAGTCAATTCCAACACTCATCACCAAGCTTGGAGTACTGTAATCTGTGCTTTAGTCAAACTATTTAAACTTGGGTGCAGCAATGACACACAGGTAAACTCTTACGCCATATCCACACATGCATGGAAAAGGCGGTCCAGGCGGTGCTTCCCAGAGGTGCATCCAGGTTTAAGGCCACCATATGTTCTAAAGAAAAGCAGTCATTTAAGAAAGAATACAATCAATAATTGTAATACTTATGTGAGAGTTACAGGCAACTTAATAATGTCACACTGTGGGGATGTTTAGGACCCAAATATGCAGATTACCCAGGATGACTCGAGGCAGGAGTTGCTAAAAGTAAAAATCTTTTATTTGGCAGGATGAAAACAAAATCCATAAGGCAGCGAGCCAAAATCCAAAAGTCCTGGGACACAGGACACCAAAAGCTCACTAAGAGCACCAAAAACCTGAAGACACAAGCTAACAAAGCCCGAACAACGCTGACAAAAACACAATGGACCGACAACCACAGAGAGACAAGACAGGGCTTACATAGACTGGGAAGATGAGAGGGAGATGAATTGCAGGTGTGTGGGGAGAGAGACCAGGTGAACACAATTACTAACTCAGGGAGGAGGAAGAAAACACTGGTGGGGAAAAAAAACACATTAATAATGAAAGGCTGTAACAAAGGAAAATGACCTAAGAGAAAAACAAAAGACCAGAAGGCATGAACCATAACTAATATTCTAAGGGGAAGCTGACACTAAAGGAAAACACTACAGAAAGAAACTGCAGGGGCGTGGCTAAGAGGGGGCCAAGAGAGCACAGGACCTGGGAGAAGGAAGTCTGAGGAGGGAAATGGGGAACACCAGGAGACATATGAGGAAGACGCAGACACAACACATGAGGGCGCTAGAAGACACAAAAGGAGACCTAGAGACGAATGAGGACAAAAGGAGACACATAAGGTGAGACGCAGACACAGACCATGACATAATAATAATAATGCTTCTCGTAGATTATTTCTTCAACCTCTCCAATTCTATACAATACAGACACATGATGAGCACAAACTCATTTAACCTAAATGCTTTAGCTTAGTTTCACTGAAATGCAATGAATTACAGTGAGACAAGCACACTCACCCTGAGCTGCTGCAACCACAACCAAAAAAAATCACAAAATGAAGTGAATCAAAAATCAGAAATGAAACCAAATTCAGCCATTAAGAGATGTGTTAAAACCTGCATGCCCCTCCTATCCTGGCTTTCACTAACCCAACAGCATTCCATAACCACAGGTAACTTTTACCAGTGAATAAATCCTGCAGATATAACTATTATAAACTCCTCTGTGGTACAGCAGCATCTCTGCAGCTTGCAGGAAGGTCCTGCAGAGAGTAATCAAAACTGCAAAGAAAATAAACACACATCAGCCTGCCCTGGATGACATCTTCACCGCTCGCTGCCTTCAGAACACAACAAACATCCTAAAACACTCAACCCACCCTACTTACCATCTTTTTATGCTTCTTCCATCAGGGCAAAAAAACATGCTCCAGCAGGTTGTTGAACAGCTTTTAAACAAGAGTTATCACTGAACTGAATGTTGCTGCTAGGAGGTCACACAAAAAGTGATTCTGCAGGATAATTAGTGCACTACAGCACTTTTGGTTGTGTTTACATCTAGCTAGTTATTCCTGACACGTTACATATGTCACATGACTTACTCTGTTTGCATCTATCTATGCATTACTTTTAGATTTGTCTTATTGACACTATTATTTTTTTTTCACACCAGGCCGACAACAGTCAGAAACCAGTTTGTGAACAAACCTCTAAAGTTAAACTTAAACAGTTTTGGAACAAACCATGTATTGAAAAGGTACTGCTGTCAGGCTAAATCTTAATCACCCGATTACATTTTTGCTGTTTTGTCTTTACATCACACCATCTTGCTAACAAGCCTCATTTAAAATTAAACAGGAGAAACTTGGGCAACAAACTTGGTTTAAGGATGACTTCTTTAAGTTTCAGGTTCATTTTCTTACACATGACTGCAGGAACTGACAGACACCACCCAGGCCTGCTCTAAACACGTGTTTTTGTCCCCACCCTGTCCCCGTAGTGTGTTCTTCTACTCTTACAGACATCAGAGTTGTTCTTATTTCTTGTTCTTTTCAGAACTGAAGGCTTTCAAATAAACGTTTCAAATCTCAAATCATACTTTATTGGGGTAGTAGTAGGGCTGGGTGATATGGCCTAAAATTAATATAACGATATATTGAGGATTTCACCTCAATAATGATAAATGGACGATAACTACAGGTTTGTGCAGAAACAAAAGTTGTCCACTAGATGGGGTTGTCACATGTATTACAATACCAAAGACTTTGAAAATGGGACCCAATGCCTCCCTGCTTGACACACACCATTAAGGGGTTGAATGGGGGGGGGGGGGGGGTTAAACCACCAAGTAGTTCCTGAGCCTGTGTGTGTCTGCAGCTCACTGCTCCCCAAGGGGATGGGTCAAATGCAAAGAACAAATTTCATTTACCAGTGTGACAACTAGTGGGACTTTAACTTTTTTTTACTTTAACTGTAGGCTGCCTCCCCTGCGACCTGACCCAGATAAGCAGATGAAAATGATGGATTTTTGAAACAGATGATTATGTTTAATTTTCTGAGATGATTAATGGCTGTACGTTTTCCTCTCCGCAAGGCTCTGAAGCAGCCCCAAACCATTAAGCTTCCTCCACCGTGCCCCAACATGTTTAAGGGACTTCTTCTTAAGTTATGAATCGTATATCTGTCACAATTTTTTCTCATCAGGTCTTCAAAACACCAATTGTCTTTTCTACTCAGGCCTTTTTCTGGTTAAAACACGTTAAAATAGTTATTTCATAACGTCAACCATCTCTCTCCTTATTTTTGTTAACTTCCAGGACTTCTTGGTCATGTTCATCCATCACCTAGCAACAGTGGGCCTCGTTAGCTTTTCCTAGGCCAACAACATGGCGCAAGTGGGGAGCCTTGTGCTGTGTGTCCACGATACCTCTGATTTCCTGCTAGAGGTCAGAAACGGCAGCGAACAATCATCCCTTTCAGAGAGATCACACAGTGTGATCCTCCGCTGAGATTAGGGATAATGACTTTTGCATGACTTTGCATCTCCTTCATTTTATTATAATCTTGAATTCTGGGGCTTGTTTTTAAACAGGCAGCCAAAATGGCCAACTATGCCAAGTACCAGCGCCTGTGTGACTTCCTCTTCATTGTGTTTAGTGTGGTTCACTTCATCACACGACTTGTTAAATATCCGTTATGGTGAGTGGAAACGAGACACTTACGGTGCATTAAAATAAATCATGTTACTCTGTTTTTTTTTAAGAATTTGTGTTTTGGGCAAGAATTGAAACAAATGAGCTTTTTGAAAGTTGTTTGTCTTATTTTTCATTTGTGTTTGATGATGTCTGAGCAGCAGATTAGAAGCTGAACATGTTCATCTTTTATTTTTTAATCCAACTCATTTGTGGTGTTTGTTTCAGCACACATACTGATGCAAAACTCACAAAGCCTCCCTTTACAAGATCACACAAGGCTGTTAAAGGAAAACCACAATGTCCCAGCCATGTAACAGTTTGCATCCAGTTTGCAAACCAGATAAGCTAATGTCCCAGGACGTATGTTGCTTTGTCAGATCACTGAGCCATCCTTCCATTTCCTGTCCAGACCTCTGAGGTGTGTGCTGACCTTTAGATGTTAGGGGACGTTTAGAGAAAGACTGTTCCTCAAAAGAGACCTGGACATTGCAGCTCTGCCGCCTGAGGGACAGACGCTGATGCTGCTGTGGACATAAACAGTAACGTCGGACATCTTTAGTGTAATAATAGGATTCGGAGCTAATTGATTGTGAGGCTCCTAATTTGTCGGCGTGAGTCTGTTGGCACAAGGATTAAATAATAACTTGAGTTTAGCTCCTGGGCTCAAACACGCCCCTCGTTCCCCTGGCCTGAAGCCAAAACAATCAGCAGCCCAACTGACTAGTCACAGGTCCAGAGGCACAGCCGGGCTTCCGGTGTCAGCCCAGTCCCGCCTAACCGGGCTGGATGGGTTCCCACTCAGGAGCGTTAGGCATTGGTTCGGTCCTGCCAACCCTCCAAGTATTGCTGTCAGGGTCCACCTGATTTAACTGATCAGAGCCATTCTGGATTGAAAGGGTCAGCCCGGGTCACAGAACCTATCATTGGCAGAAGTAACCTGAGCAGCTATATTTAGTGTCTTGGTGTGGGTGAATGATAAAGCTAGAGTTGCTACTGAAGCTGCGAGGACTGAAATCCATACCTTTGTAGGGGAAGATGGGTCTGTTGACAATCTTTTATCCCTTAATAGGATTTAAGGGAATGGGTGAATTCATCAATGACTCACTTTACATTAAACTCAGTCTGTTACATTCAGTGCTGCATAAAACGTTTTTACCCCTTACAAATGTTTTCTGTCCCAGAGACATGTTTCAGATCAATAAACAGATTCCATTATCAGTCAAATATATCCCGGGTTATTATAAAATGCAGTTTTTTCAAATAATGGTTTTGTTCATTACGAGGGAAAAACTAATCAAACCAACAGGCCCTCTGTGAAATATGTCGTCGCCGTCTTCTTCCTCCGCTTATCCGGGTCCGGGTCCCGGGGGCAGCATCCCAACTAGGGAGCTCCAGACCGTCCTCTCCCCGGCCACCTCCACCAGCTCCTCCGGCAGGACCCCAAGGTGTTCCCGGACCAGATTGGAGATGTAACCTCTCCAACGTGTCCTGGGTCGACCCGGGGGCCTCCTGCCGGCAGGACATGCCCGAAACACCTCCCCGGGGAGGTGTCCAGGAGGCATCCTGACCAGATGCCCAAACTACCTCAACTGGCTCCTTTCGATCCGGAGGAGCAGCGGTTCTACTCCGAGTCCCTCCCGAATGTCCGAGCTCCTCACCTTATTTCTAAGGCTGAGCCCAGCCACCCTACGGAGGAAACTCATTTCGGCCGCTTGTATCCGCAATCTCGTTCTTTCGGTCATTACCCAAAGCTCATGACCATAGGTGAGGATTGGGACGTAGATCGACCAGTAAATCGAGAGCCTGGCTTTCTGGCTCAGCTCCCTCTTCACCACGACAGATCGGCTCAGCGTCCGCATCACTGCAGACGCTGAAATAGGTCATTCATGATTTACAGTAGCAAGGAGGTCAGGGACTGTGATTAACCACAACGTTTGGAAAGCCGAGTTCATGTTTACTAACCACACCCAGGTGCGATTACCATCAGACTTTTAGATTGAGGCAACCTCTTCAGTAGAACCTGCCTGAAAACATGATGGAGACTAAACGATCTCAAAAAGCAACACATGTTCTAAAGAAGACCAGAAGACCTAAAGCATCGCAGGCCTCTCCTGGTTGAGGTTAGGGTTAGAGGTCATGTTTGAATAATTAGAAAGAAATGAGGAATAATGTGCATATGTGGAGGAGCTCCTAGACCTGGCTGAATTTTCCTCAAAAATGTATTTTTTTGATTCCCAAGACTGTGGAGCAAATATTCTGCAGACTGTCAGTGGAACCTTCTGGTAGACGTCCATCTTGTTACATCTGGGGTACGACTAAAACCCGATAGCGTAGTCTACATTTCACGTCACCGCTGAAATGCTGCTGGGTGCAAGTGCTAGACAAACGAACCGCATTTATCAATTAAAAACACACGGACCGAGCGCTTGGACGTCGATAAAAACAACCTGACAGACGCCATATTCAAACGTTAATACTCAGTTACTCGTTACTCACAGTACTCAAGTAACATTTTCTCCAAGTCTGTTGTCATGTGTTTTCATGTGTTTTATTGTTTTTTTTTCTCCAGGGTCCTGAACTCTACTATGTTTGAGAGCTGGGCCATCGTCGGGCCGTTTCCATCTTGGTGGCTCTTCAACATCCTGCTGCTAGTCCTCCAAGTGCTGTACAGAATGCTGCTTTCCTCAGGGGTGTGTCCAGGGAGTGGCCTGGGGTAGCAAATGCCACCCTTGGAATCTGATTGGCCACCCCAGGTGCCACCACACTAATTTACCTTTAAATAGGCTTTTCATTGTCCACAAAAGGTTTGGGGGTAAAACAAAAAAAGCATAACCATTGGTGCCACCGATGCACAAAGTTGTGCCTCACCTGGGCCACCCCATTTTAAAAGATGTGGACACGCCACTGGCTTTCCTCCAGTTGTAACTGCCAAAACCCTTGTGAGGCCTCCAGTTTGGTGAAATAGTTGGCTCCTGCCATCTCTCTGATCATTTCCTCACGTGTGGGTATTTGGTAGTACTCACGTTTGGTGTTTTCATTTAGATCTTTTGGGTCCATGCACAATTGCAAATCACCGTTCTTTTTCTTGGTGACCACCATGTAGTTGACCCAATCTGTAGGCTCTTGCACTTTCTTGATCACCCCCAGGTTGGTCATTCTGTCCAGCTCTTGCTTGAGAGCTTCACGCAGCGGAGCTGGGACTCTACACGGCGCATGTACAACCGGCTGGGCATCTTCCTTCAGCTGGATTTTATAGGTAAAAGGCAGCGTACCAAACCCTTTAAACACATCAGAAAAGTTCTGCACAATATTATCAACATCAAACTTTGGGTCTGTTTCTATACAGTACACTCTTTTAACTAGACCTAGTTCTTCACAGCTTTCATCCCCCAACAGCAATTCACATTTTTCATTTACCACAGAAAAATTCACATGGTGTACCTTCCCTTTCACATTCACTTTGAGTTTACAGGTACCAAAACACTCTATGGGTTGGCCATTGTAATCTTTCAACCCTGACCTCATTCTGTAAATGTGCGGTTTAACCTGCATTTCTTTAATGTCTGACGTGCTAATCAGGTTAGCTTTAGCACCTGTGTCCAGTCTCATGGTAACTATAACTCCTTTAATCAATAGAGGAATGATTCTGTGGTAGTTTTCCCATCATCTGATTTGATTTGATCTTCATTCACAAGACCAACAAAGAAAGTGTCACTTAGATCTGTGTCTTGATATAGCACCCGCTAGAGTCCTAGAACCCCCCAAGGTGCTTTACAACACAATTAGTCATTCGCCCATTCACACACACATTCACACACTGGTGGGGATGAGCTACAATGTAGCCACAGCTGCCCTGGGGCGCACTGACAGAGGCGAGGCTGCCGAGCACTGGTGCCACCGGTCCCTCCGACCACCACCAGCAGGCAACGTGGGTTAAGTGTCTTGCCCAAGAACACAACGACAGACTGAGCTGGGCTCGAACCTGCAACCTTCCGATTACGGGGCGAGAACTTAACCACCATCGCCCAACAAGATGAACCTTTTATGAATCTTTTATTCATGTGTTCAGACTCACACACTGCTAACTTCCGTCTCCGTGCTTCACTATTTCTGGTAACATCATCCTTGTAGCCTGTCTTACAGCGACCTCTAGTGGTAACACATTGCAATAACTACTGATCATAACAAGAACCACAGCAGCTGGTGACGTGGGAGTGAGAACTCCGGGAGCCCCCTGCAGTTCGCCCCCCCTCACAGCGCTACTGTTGGTCTGAGGGTGTTCCTCTGGCTCACTCCCACACATCACACTGACGGCGTGGGCACACACATTCCTTTGTTTGAGAACTGACAATGGACGTGCAGACACTGACAGAGTCGGGACTCTGAAAATGATGCGTAAATGCTGCAGCGACACAGAAATCTGTTCAAACGTGATCTGCAAAGTCTCGTATAGCTAAATGTTGGGATTAAAGTTTGACTTCAGATGTCACTTTTGATGTTTTCCCAGTTTTAGTGGTCAAATGAACTTGACTGTTTGCCTTCAAGGGTTTATTCACACTGGACTGCACAGAGCAGATGTGCCACAGCAGATACACACCTTTTTTGGTTCTTTTTTAAAACACAGGAAAGGTTTCTCTTTACTTTGCTGACAGTTTCGTTTGCAGCTGCAAACATCTTCAGAGCGGACGCTGATGGTGGCGTCATTTCCTACTCCGTTTATCCGTGGGCAGCAGAGGACGTTGTCGCCCTCTGCTGCCCGCTCTCCCCTCTCCGATGATGCAGTCCCATGCACGATCCAATGTGTAGACCCCGTCGTCTCTGTTTATGGTCCCACATCCACGTCTCCTTATCTCTATAGCATTCTTTATCCATCTCTTATATTTCTGTTGTTCGGTGTTTATGATCCTTGTGCTGTCCCAGTCCATTATATGGTTTTCTCTTGTGCAGTGATCTGCTACGGCTGACTTCTTTATTGTGTTTTCTGTTTCTTGTGTGTCTTCGACTTGTTTCTTTCTCACACTCCTTTCTATGTTCTATTGTTCGTGTGTTGAGTTGGCGTACGGTTTCTCCTATGTATGTTTTATTGCAGTTTGCATGGGATTTCGTAAATGACTCCACATTTAAGTCCAGTTGGTATCTTGTCTTTTGGGTGTACTAGTCTGTTTCTAAACGGAGTAGGAAGTGACGGCACCATCAGCGTCAACTCTGAGGATGTTTGCAGCCACAAACGAAACTGTCAGCAAGCTAAAGAGAAACCTTTTGTGTTAAAAATATGCAATTGGAAGTACACAGCAAGAATGCACCAAAGATACCACACCTCCTAAAAGGAAAGTGTTGATATTGCTGTGCTTTTATCAGCAGTTGAAGCACAAGTGTGTGTTTTATGAGTGGCAGTAAATGAACGACCATTTGCAATCTGCTGTGGATTTACTCTTTAGGCTGCTTTGCAACTTGTTTTAATGTTTTTACTGCTTCTTCCTCCAAGACCAAATGTGTATGTAGTTGTTTGACTGCCTTTAGACAAATCCAGGTATGAGGACTAGAACTGTTAATTGCATTGTCACGAGTGCCTTGTATAAATACATTTTCAAATAGATTTTTGTTGTCATAAGATTTTTTTTATTTCAGTTCTGTGATTTAAAGCATTTTATTATATTATAAAACAAATAACAGCCACCATCACTCACAATCCTCAGTCATTACAGATGTCACAGGCCCCAAATCGATTTGATCAGGTCTTTTGCCCTTATTTTACAATTTGAACCAAAGAAACAGGATATGTCCACATGTGTGCAAACAGCACAGGAGTTCCTGTCACATCAGTCTTTAATGACTTCAGAATCCTGGTTCTCTGCAGCCAGTTTCAGCTGTTTCTGCCTCTCCCAGTAGCGGTATCCTCGCATCGCACACAAGTAGCCTCCGTAGGCCGTCAGCAGCATCATTGAAGCAGAAAAGGCCTTGTAGCCAATATCGGCCAGACGCTTTCCTGACACCATGATGGGCCCCTAAAAGAACCAGAACAGGAAGTCAGAGGAGGTTCTGCACCAAAGCACGTTTACTAGTCGGGGTATTGATGTAGTTGTTAAATCCTTTAGAAGATCACTTTTAGATTGCTTGCATGAGTTTCACGATAGTAAATAAATATTCCACATTTAAGTTGTTCAGCGATCAACTGAAATGGTTTTTTTCTGCTGCTGATACTGATAAGTGCTGCCAGGTTTTGAATGATTTTCAGTGATGATATCTGGACGTTTTCTGCTTATGTCCATGGTAAAATGTCACTAATATCAAGTGGATTCACAATATTTCTGAAACTGGTCAGTTTTTGACTTGAAATGGTTGAAATCTTAATTCTGTGCACAATCATCCATCCATCCATTTTTGTCTGCTTATTCAGAGTTGGGTCGCGGGGGCAGCAGCCTAAGCAGAGAGGCCCAGACAATCAACTGACCAAGTATTAAATATACAAAACAAATAAATATAAAGAAATATGAGTTGATATTAATGTTTCAAAGCATTTATTAAGCAGTTGACTTCAGGAAATTAAATGAGCATTAATACAGATGCCTGACAATATCTGCTCTACTAAAAAGCTATAACTTAAATGGTTATTTTACTGACAAGTTATTTGATCAGTTCGATATCTGGCTGACTGATTAATCAACTGACTGACTAATAATTCAATGAACCCATGAATTAACCGACCGATTAATCAACCAGCAGACAGGTTAATCAAGTTATTTGACTGGTTAATGCTTTGGTCAGTTGAACGTGTTTCATTTCCCTCTGGGATTAATAAAGTATCTTTGAATTTAATTGAATTTGAATTTTATCTGGTTGGCTCTTACCTGGTCGGTCCATTCCAGAAAACAGGAGTGATGGTGAACTCTGTTAGTGTTATACGTTTTTTTTTTTTTTTTTTTTTTACTAATTTTTAAGTTAGGGTCTGTCAAATAAAGTAAAATAGGAATAGATCAACATCTGATGGTAACAGCTGAAGGAGATTATGTAAAAAATCATTTAAATTATTCATTAGCTTTGCTACAGAAATGTAGCAGCTGCTATCAGCAATATAGCTATGAGTTTCGCAGATGAATGTTTCATGTATTTTAGTCCCATAACAAGTCGAGTCTCCTACACACTGGTCAACAACACATCAATCATTGGTAATACCACCGATTATGTTTGGAACAGTCGTAAAGCAGAAGAATCGAGGATGCTATAACTTCAAAATAAACCACACACGCTGCAAAAACGTGACAGTTGTTCATAGTACGAACAAGCTAGCAACAGAAGCCACGGCGATAAAGCTCTCTTTTACGTTCTCCTACCTTTTATTATTTAGCACAATGATCACAGCAAGGTGTGTTTTCTCGCCTCAATGTCAAAGCATCAGGCTCTAGAGTAGCTCTCTGAAAACTCACCTTCAATTTAGTAAGCAGCGGAAACTGCGGAGTTTGAAATAACAGCGAGTGAAGCTGCTGCGCCACCTGTAGACACGGAGTTAAACTGCACTGCTACGTTCACTGACTTTCTACTTGTTAGCTGGGTGTATTTCTCAAAAACATAACAATAAATAAAATGAGTTATTTTTATAATCATAATAATGTATCTATTTCCACATATATACGTGAAATAGTGTAATGTAATTATTGAAAACTGGTCATGTTTTCCTCCCGGAATGATTTAGCTGGCACACACACGTGTCACGATGGCAACTTGTCCGACTTGCAGCAAATCTGTTGATGAAGTGGAAGACCCAGGCGCTGCTCCTTATGGAAACTTCATTAACTACTACACCTTCAACCCTCCGGAGAACCGGCTGAGTCTGATTCCAGCCACACTCCTGCGGGATTTAGGGCACAATGACAGTCGGGAGGAGGACACGTTGATCCTGGACGTCGGGTGTAACTCAGGGGTGGGTGAGTCTCCGACTAAAATAATCAGTTTCAAAGTAAAAAGTGCAACTTTTTTTCATCCTTATAGACAATCCTTATATTAATCATTTTTGACGTAATTTTTTTTTTAACAAAGACATTATCAAAAGCTTATGAAAACCCTTGAAGGAAGAAAACCTGGACAATAATTGCTTTATAAAGATGCAAAAAGACCATGTGAAATAAACAAATGCAATATGCTCAGAATTTAAAAATATGTTGCTATTTTTAAATGAACACAACAGTATTTTTTCCTGTTTTCTGCTTTAACAGGAACTGAGCGTTGCCTTCTACAAGCATGTTGTTTCTGACCTCACCCCACCCAGGAGGAAGGTCCACCTCCTGGGATTCGACTTGGATGAAAAGCTTATTCGTCGAGCACAACAGACCAGCCCTGAGCACAGTAACATCACCTTCATGCATCTGGATATCACCCAGGACACGAAACGGCTGCAGGACTACCTCAGACAGCACTGCTGCACCCATTTTCACCTGTGTTTGTGCCTGGCGGTTACAATGTGGGTCCACCTAAACCACGGAGACTCTGCCCTACTCCAGCTGCTTTCACACCTGGCCTCCATCAGCAAGCACCTTCTGCTGGAGGCCCAGCCCTGGAAGTGTTACCGCTCTGCAGCCCGGCGGCTGAGGAAGCTGGGCCGCTCTGACTTTGACCACTTTAAGACCCTGAAGATCCAGGGGGACGTGGCCATTCACCTCAAGGAGCACCTGGAGAAACACTGCGGCATGCAGCTCATCCAGAGCTATGGCAGCACCTCGTGGGACCGTCAGTTGCTACTTTTCAGAAGGACATAAGCCAATAAAGACTTTAATACACTGCAAGAAATCTCTGATTTTGACTTAATGTCTCCTCAGCTGGTGACCTAATGTGTCAGAATTAAGCCAGGATGATGGTGATTCTCTTCTCAGTTACACTAAAACAATCCAGTTCCTGTAAAAGTCAAAAGCTTTATTTCTAACTGACATGTTTCTTGTCTTTTAGGCATCTTAAACCAACAAAGAAGAAACAAACAACTCCAATAAATACAGAAATATTTCTTGTGCTACTTTGGAAACAAATCATCTTTACATGTTTAGTTTTCATAAATGTCACCTCTGATTATCTTAAAACAAATAACTACATTTAAATAGCATCTTTGTGATTGTGATATTTTAGTCCTATTATTAAGGACTTCAAATTTGTGATTTTATGCAGCCATGTCAGTTCAGGACCTTTATGTTGACGTAGCTCGCAAAATCTGTCTGTTCCTCAGAGTCTGGACCTCGCTGCGCATGTCTCGGCTGTGGAGACGGGGTTGAAACCTGCTCTTCTTCATGACAGTAATGGCGCCTGTGCAGCACAGGTGTTATGGCTCAGAGCCATTTGGGTTTTTCCCTGTGTGTGTGTGAGTGAGTGAGAGAGGAGATGCAGCACCTGGCTCCAATCTCACTAGATTGCCTCCCGGTTAGATTCTCTCAGCTGATCCTGATGACCAGCAGCATAAAAGTCAGCCAGCCCTCAGTTCAGGGAGCAGCAGGCTAGGGAGGTTCTCTCTGGTCTGTTGTCTCCTCAGCAGCTTTTGTTTTTGTTTTGTTAAGATTTATGTAACAACTTTGAGAGCTTAACTCTCTGTGTTTAACCGTTCGCCTTTTAGGGGTAAAGGACACTTTACCCCTTTGCTTGCTTTTATAAGACATCACTCAGTAAAAGGGAAATCGTGATGGTCTTTCGTGGTTTTTGTATTAATTTGGTTAATATGAGAATTTAGTTGTTACTCGTTTTGCGTTGCTGATGATGTGTCTTGTTAATCTGTGTTTTGAGTTTATATTTATGTAAATAAATGTTGGTTTGTTACTTTTACCACGAGAACATGCGTCCTCATTGTTACCCCAGGCCCCCTAGACAGCCTGGATCGTAACAACAGGTCCAGCAGTATCTGAGCTCCTTGCAATCCCTCCAGCTTGTGTCTGAATCCCTTTTCACTCTGGATTTAAATGGAAACAGTCTCATCATCAACACAGGAGCGGTCAGATCAAATCTAGAGCGGGTGCTCTGTGATGACAGCGTGGCTGTTATTGATGTTTGCCACTCGCTGGACCAACCTGCTGTCTCTAACAGAGAGGAGAAATCAAGAGTGTGATGGAGGATTTGCTCCTGCTTTTGGAACAACAAGAAGAGGCTGAGAAACCTCTATGTTGAGAAATCTGAGGAGTGGAACCTGTGCGCAGTGTCTGGAGTCTTACTGGGTTTCCCCGTCACTTTACTGGTTCGATCAGACCGAGAGCTTTGAAAATTGTCTGTCCATGACTCCTCTGATGGTGATAACGGCTTCAGCGTCATGGCAGGCAGATGGCCCCCATCACAGATGTTTCCTGTATTCCTTCACCCTCCCAGCTGCTCTGCAGGAAGAGACACGGCCCAAGCTGGAGGACTGGGAGCTTGGTCTGCAAGAAAGATTTAAACAGCAGCGCATCTTGAAGGATCTGAGGATTAGTCAAGCCACGGTCTCTCTGCCATCAGTCTGTTTGTGATGCTGGTAAAAATCTGTTTTAAGATAAAATTGGTATTCTTTTAATCTAAAACTAGGTGCAATAACATTGAATTGGGTCCTTTTCTTCATTTTGTACCATTTAAGTGTGGGGGGGGGGGGAAACGCCTATTTTCATTATTTATCTGATGGGAAATTTCACACGCCACATTCTTTTGGCAAGTACACATAAATAATGTGAGCATAAACGGTCATTAAATGATAACACAATCCAGTAATGCCTCTGTGAATACGTTGGCTCTAAAGATATAATAATTAGCAACAGTTGCTTGGCCCTCTGAAACTAAATTTGGCTCATTATAAAAAGTTTGGGCCATAAAAACCTGAAAACATTTATTCTTGATAGCATTGACGGATTAATGATTCAATTCCTGTTTCACTTTTAAAAAAAATCTAGATTTATCAGATATTTGAGTCGCGAAGCAAAGTAATTAAATGTAGCAACTCAAATTTGATTAAATATCTTAAACATGCCTTTGATCCTAATGTAGTGCACAATTTTTGGAGGGCAACAACGAAACAACCCAGATGCATTTTGGTCCAGATGAGTCGTACTTTGTGTTTTTATTGTGTCTGTAGCTTGTAAATGAAGATTAATGATCCGTTTATCAGGAAACAGGAAATTATGGGTTTGGCTAACAAATGCTCATCAATAATATTGATTCCTGTAAAACAGGTCCTGTTAACTTGTGCATCTTTAAGAATTCAAGTCCTTTTTCACCAGCAGTAAGAAAATTATTTAATACAAATTTCTGAACTTGCACATGAAGGTGCGTAATCTTGAGAAGATTTTGCACAAACTTCATCTTTGAGTGGCAGATTTCATAAGAAAATGCTCACCAGATGTCTCAATGAACGTGTTTCTTAAATAAATTATGAAGACAACCAGAAAGCTTCTCAAAGGCAAACTAAGTTAACATGAGAATCCTAATCTCAGCTACAGTTAGACAGGTCCTATTTTTGCAAGGAACAAATATCCTCACTACAGTAGTTTCTGTTTCCATTTTATATAATAAATGCTATTTTATTAAATTATAGGAACAAAGGCAGTTAAATAAAGAACTTAGCATATAAACTTTTTGTAAATGTAATTTTCAGACTCTTTTACAGGCTGTTAGGGCCCTGTATGACCGGTGTCAGCATTGCCGGCTGTAAGTTAGGCTTGTTTCCACTGAGAGTCGGACTCCGCCAAGGCTGCCTTTTGTCTGTTCAAAACTTTTATGGACAGGATTTCTAGACACAGCCAATGTGCTGAGCGGATCCATTTTGGTGGCCTAAGGATTGACTCTTGGCTTAATGCAGGTGAAGTGATCCTGTTGGCTTCATCAGACAAACGATTGATAGGTGGATTGGTGCTGTGTCTGCAGTACTGTGGGCGTTGTACCGGTCTGTTGTGGTGAAGAGAGAGCTGAGCTGAAAGGCAAAGCTCTCGATTTACAGATCGATTTACGTTCCCACCCTCACCTACGGTCACAAGCTTTGGTAGTGACTGAATGAATGAGATCACAGATACAAGCTGCCAAAATTAGTTTTCTCCACAGGATGGGTGGGCTCTCCCTTAGAGATAGGGTGAGAAGCTCGATCATCCAGGAGGGGGTTGTAGTACTCGCTGCTCCTCCACATTGAGGAGCCAGCTGAGGTGGCATCTAGTTAGGATGCCTCCTGGACGCCTCCCTGGTGAGGTTTTCCAGGCACATCCAACCTGAAGGAGACCTAAAGGAAGACCCAGGACACGTTGAAGGGACTATGTCTCTCAGCTGGTCTGGAACGCCTTGGGATTCCCCTGGAGGAGCTCCAAGTGGCTGGAGAGAGGCAAGTCTGGGCCTCTGTTTAGGTTGGGTCATACCCACTGAGTCACATTTTTAAGTGACTCAAGGTGGTACAACTTCTTAAAATGACATGAACGTTACCAACCTACACACATCCTTTCATTTTTTTACTATCAGTTATTGACATGGGAAAATTATCTCGATACGTCAGAAATTATGAGAACAATACATTTTCGATTTATTGCCCAGCCCTAGGTAGTAGGCATTTTGTGTGTGCATGAGACTTATACCGGTCTGTCCCGTGCTTCTTATTTTGACCTGCATGCATGTGGCTCAAGTGGTTTGTACTGTTACCTTGCAGAAAGGTAACGTTTGACAGTCTTCCTCGTGCATGCTTAGGTTCTGAGTACCCTGGTTCCTCCTAAAGATCAGAAACATGCACATGTGCGCATATATAAGTCTGCTTTTTATACATCTTTTCACAGGAAAGTTACAGGAAAGTGAGAGCCATAAATCATAGTGTTCCTTTCCTTAAATGTAAACTTCAATGCAAGAAATAATCCACAACTACAGAAAGGTATTTTTGTATATTTATGTTTTACTGTTGCCCAGTCCAGCCCTAAAAAGTAACAAAAAAATGCATAAAACACAAAGGCATTTATTTCTTCATTGCAAGAACACTGAACAACCAGGACATAAAATAATATTTTTACCACATTTGGAGGGAAAAAAAAGACAGGAATTTTTTTAATGGAATAAAATATTAAATGAAATAATAAAAAAATCACAACATAAATAGTTGTTTTCTGGACCATCATTATTCCCTTTCTTGTAGTTAAACTGAATTACAAGGAAAACTTTTTAAGAACTACTTTAAAGGTAGTTCAACAGGCGATGCAGGAAGCCACAACATTAGAACACAAAAGAAAATTCACAGAACAAAAAGCATTAAAGCTGAAGGCAATTAAAGGATTTTTAAATATATACATAATTTTTGTAACAGGGGAACTATAGTCAAACTTAAAAACAGCACTTTTTAAATGACGCTAAAACCAATCTAAGGAAAACATTTTAACCAGTAGAAATACAATTAGGAAACTTAAAGTGCTCTGTAATAAAAAGCACACTCCTGTTTCATTTAAAGCAACCTGGCTATAAAGGCACAGCTGTTTCTTGCATTTTGAATAGTTTCCTTCTGAGGTTTAACTGAACGTTTGGCAGACTGAGAAAAAAAATCTCAGGTAAAGCTACCAGTGTAGTTTGAGATCATTTAGATGTGCTTCACATGTAAACAGGGTAATTCTTACAACCAAAGGGCAAGAAAAAAATTCTAATAAAAACTATTTTGTATATAAATACAAAATGTGCAAAAGTATTCGAGATTGCCCTTTTCCCTTTTGATGGACTGTTGATGCAGGAATCTTATCAGCCGAGTGGTAAGGTTGTGATCGTACATGACTTACACGGTGCTTCACACGTCTAACAACACAAAGCTTGGCTTACGCAAGTAAAGAAATGAAAGGTTTACAGCACTCCTGCTGTATGGCAGTTTTCCATTTTCTGTCACTGAGCCCGACAGTGGTTGGCTGGTGAACAATGAAGGCAAACAGGAAGATGACGCATATGGAGAGTACTGACGAGTTACAACACACTTCTCTAAAACCAGACAGTGGTTTCATGTTTCATTTACTTAAGATGACTGAAACAGAACCACGAGGAAACTGAAGACCTTTTTCAACTGCATATACATGCAACACCAGCCAAATGGAATCAACGTTTTCACTTGGTGACTTTCAAACATGACATAAGGTCACTTGTTCTTATCAAACTCCCAAGTTTAAAAGCTAATAAAATAAAATAAAAAGATGCTGCAGATGCTCTTCTCACAGATAAAAGCAAGTTTTCGAGTTCTGCCAGGTTCAAAACTGCTGAAGCATGTTTGTAACTGGAGGTGTGTTTTTTAACTATCCTGTTTTGGGTGGTGCAACAAAATCCGGGTTGTATGCAGGCTGAGACAGGTAGTCCATCTGAGCAGGTGGAACATTTGGGTGAGGCTGGACAGGAGGCTGCAGAGGGTAAGCTGGCTGTCCAGGACCGTAGGCAGCCTGGCTGTAAGGCATCGGCTGGGGCGGGTAGGAGGGACCGGCTGGAAATAGAATGGAAAACAGCATGAGAGACTAAAAATTATCTGAGCATAACTGCAGCTGTCTGTCGGGCAGAGCATGAGTACATCTTTGTTTATTTTTTCCTCTCTCTTTAAAAAGCTGAAAATTTATGTTAGCATGGGTAATCCACCCCACCTTCTGTTAATCAAAAACACCAAAACACACATTGTAGCAGGGCTCACTGCTTCTGAAGATGTGTTTTTTGGCAGGGTTCAGTTTGTAATTCAACAGAAGGTTGAATTAAATCAGTATGTGTGTGTGTATCATGTTTTCTGTTGGTGTTCGTCACTGAGCACTCACTGGCTTCCTGATATGTTGGTGGTGGTGGGAACTGCTGTCCCTGATGGGGAAATGTAGGCATGCCCTGAGTGCCGTAGCTGGGCTGCACTGGCATGGGCTGGTAGGGATGATGCTGGGTCGCCTGGTAAGGCTGAGGGGGGCTGGCCACTGCGGTTGGCTGCTGGGGGTACTGCTGAGGAATGCTGGTAACCACCGTGGTGTGGGTGGTAGCTACCACAGCTGGAAGCAAAAAACACATGCAAAGTTTAGGAATATGATATTTGTAATTCCATGCTGTAGTTCTTTTTTAAAACACAGAACAGTTTTGTAACCTGTTTTCCCGCTACGTTTCGTTTGCGGCTGCAAACTTCCTCCTGGTAGGAGGAAGGAGGAAGTTTGCAGCCGCAAACGAAACGTAGCGGGAAAACAGGTAACAAAACTGTTCTGTGTTTTAAAAAAGAACTACAGCATGGAATTAGAAAAACGACACAGCAAGAACACACCTAAGATGTTCAATATGATATTTGGTTTAAGGTTTCAGGATCAGGTTTTGTGAGAGAAACTAAGTAAACAAACAAAAGTTTTAAGGAATGACCTAGCTCAAAGTAATCCAAACTACTACCAACAAGGCAAATCTGTCATAAACCACCACAAACTCAGAGAAGGTGACTAAACGTTAGACTGATGTGTCCGTTTAAATGTTACAGAAGTTTCATTTGGTGTGTGGTAACAGCAAAGTGTTACACCAGAACAAAAGCAAGGTCATATGATCGTTCCACACAGATGCAATATTTTACTCATACCAACATTTCTGCTTTTGTCTAAAGGTAAAAATTGAAAACCACACTTTGAAAACAGCCGAAAGTCACACCAGTTCAACACTGAGCTGAAAGGATGACCTTTTATAAGCTTCTAGACACAATAAGGCCCTGATGTTGTTCATTTCCTATAACGTTCAGAAACCATTTGTTTGCATCCTTCTAGTTTAATTTTAGTTTTGATATCCATTTACGTTACCCTTTTCACCTGCCAAAACCTAAAGATGGTGGAAACTGAGAAAATAAATGTTTTTAAATTTTAAATGATGAGTTTACATAAAACATCTTTATAAACTATTTTGTCTAACAAATGTTTCTGCTTGGAAACGATACGCCCTTTGTGAGTCCTCAACTTCCCTGAAGAAACCAGCTGTGACTAGACAAGTTGTGCTGTAAATAAAAAAGTGTGTTCTTTATTCCAAACATAGCGGGCGTCATCACAACCACTTCCTGTATGCAGCGTGGAACATCCTTGAGTTTTTCCTCCCTGTGGTTGTTGTGGAAACTGTGAGTCATGCCGAACATTCCTGATTCAGATCCCCGGCTCTTGGAGAAGCCTCAACGTGTGATTTAATCTGTTTCGGCCTTTTTGCCAAAATGTTTTTATCTGCTGGCAGAATTTAAGCAAACTGGCAAAAGGACTGAAGTTACAAGGAAGAGCAAACTAGTTTGAGTGAAAACACACACACACACACACACTTGAGCATTTTCCACAAATAGACAAGAATTGATCGTTTACTTTTATATTTTGTATCATCTTAGTACAAACAGTTTCCCTCACAGGCTCAGTGGTAAACACAATGATGGGTGGATCTTTACGGTTGTATGAGTATGAACATATGTCTTCCAGGTCTCACACTGATAACAGAGCAGGCATGCGCTTCAATCACACTAACAAAACAACAGGCGAATAACTCAAGAGCATCGTTTGTAAGCAAATATCTATTTTCACCTCTTTGAAACCATTAACTTATTTTATTCCTTTATTTCTCTCTTTTTTAGTGTCTTCCATGTTGAATTGTTTCATAAAGAGTTGAAAGACACTCCAGGAATCTGAAGAACTTGAGTGCATAAAGAGAAAGGGAGAAATAAACTAAACTCCCCAGGCTTTGATCTGATAAACTGTAATAACTAAGATAAACTTGACTAGACTAACCCGTCTGATTACTGTATTGTAATGGATCATTCATATTGGGTGTATTTATTATCACTGATTCATCACAAGAGTTGTAAAATAAATTCTTGTTTTTAAGTCATGAATATGAATTGATGATTGTTTGAACATTTACGGTGACGGCATGGCTGACTAAGGGTGCCGCTATCGTGCACAGCAGCGTCAGCAGAAGCCTGACTAATCTACTAGGTCTGCACGACATAGGGAAAAAAAAGCACATTGATTTTAAAACATGCACATTGATCGATAGCAATAATTACTGATAACTACACCATAATATAGACAATATATTTTATGTGCAGCCTGGCCATTTGTGGTATTACTTTATGATAAACAGGTTGGGTGGGTTATTGATTCTATGCAAACTTTTCAATCAGCCATCGTTTGATTTTTGTCCGACTTGTAAAAATCTAAATCCTGCCGTGCTGGTGAACTACTGCAACCTTTTTTTTTTTTCAGGACAATTTCCTCCGCCTCTCCTTACTGCGACGTCTTGTTTACGTCACCTGCTCTGTTTTGGTTTGAGAAGGGAGGGCTTGGTGGCAGAGCGTGCCTGGGTCTGTGTTTTTGATTGGTTGGGAATAATGACTAGTATTAAGCTACCTAATAGGCTATAATGGGAAATGGAAAGAACTTTTTATTGATCCATTTTCTTTTCTATTGCACCACACATCTATTGATATATATTTATTGTTATTGAATTACTGTCCGGCCCTATAATCGACTATTCTTAGCAGCATTGACCAAAGGTTTAGGTTAAAGTCTACATCTGTAAATCTACAGCTGAGGGTCTCCAACCCTGGTCCTCCAGAGCTAATTGTTTAGAAATGTTCTCTGCTCCCAACACACCTGATTTTAATCAGTAGGTAATGAACAGGCTGCTGTTGATATCGATGACCTGCTGAGCAGGTAATTCAACCACTGAATCAGGTTTGTTGCTGCAGGGAAAACTGAAACAGGGCAGGGCTGTGCTCAGGCCTGTGGGCCTTTTAGAGACAAACAACAAACACATATTTACATATGTAAATAGTGACACCTTACTTTGACTCAAATAAATATTAAGATACTCAGGCCAACAGAACAACTACAGTGGTTTTGAAATTGTGATTTTTCAACCCATCATGAGGCAAATCAGATGTTGTTTTTAATCACATATCTTTATTTTTGTTACTGTCGAGTTATCTGTAAAAACAAATAAACATTTTTCTACCTGTCTGAAACATTCAGTTCCCCATTTGGGATGATTTTCTTTAAAACTGCTAATTACACACTGGTGTTTTATAGTAGCCGAAGACAACAACAACAAGGATATGCAGTGAAACGTATTAATGAGGGAAACATTTTGAAAGCTAACTACAAATCAGGTTTGTTTTTACCCACCAACGCCATAAATCACAGCTCTGAAAAGGAGCAAGTGGAAAACCTGAATGAGGGTAAAATCCTAGCAGAGAAACAAATGCAGCAGCAGCATCAAAGCTTGGCAGAAACCATAATTTATCTGTGATGACTCGATGCTGTGTCATCAGCCTGTGGAAAACACTGAACACTAAAATGCATCAGTTTGTATATAAAACTTTACACACCACTGATTGTTAAAAGTTTGGTCACATCTTCACACCTGTGTTATTAGCATGACTAGACCATGAAGTAATGAAAGTCATTTGGTGGTAAGGAGTCCCAAAGTGAAGAAGAAGAAAAGAAAATATCATTTCTATAGCACCTCTCAAGATAAAAATCACGAGGCGCTTCACAAAAACAAAAAATGTAAAAAATAGAAAAAAAGAATTTGGAAAATGGTTACAAATATATTTAAAATGAGCAAAAAATAGACAATTGTGATTAAAAAAATGTTAAGAAAGAGAGAGAGAGACTAGGAAAGAGGGAAATCAGTGGATCCTGAGGAAGGTGGAATAGGTTGGGAGAGCAGAATAAAGACAGAGTGCCTGATATTCCATTACAAAAGTGCACAGTGAAAACCTCCAACACACTGGAAACCAAGAGCCTCATCCTCTTATTCTGAATCTCATAAAAGCCAGTTTGTCTGCAAAAGCTGAGGAGCTTGTTAAAAGTTTTTTGGTCACTAAAGAAGAGAAAAATGAAGAACCATAACATTTTTGGGATACATTTAATTAGTTGTTTTGTTTTGCATGTTTAAGAGGCAGTTCACTAAAACCGTTACCAGAAAAACAATCAAAAGCTGAAAACTACTTACGTCGTGGCTTGCGGCATAAACTGTACAGGCAGCAGCAAGGACAAACACAGCAGCAGACTAAGATGAGGATTGCCAGGAAGCCGATAACACTACTGATGACCACGGGGACCAAAGATGTGTTGGGGAAGGATTTACCATTATTGTAACTGAAAAAGAACATTTTAAAAATGAGCTAAAACAGTGATATTGTTCTGTGATTTATTACAAAACCCTTAGTTTGTTCATTCAATTCAACTTCATTCAACTTTGCTTAAAGAGCAAGTCACTTCAAATCACCATTTTTTTTGCTGATAAACTATATAAATGAGTGTCCAATTGTGCTGTAGACAAATGTAGTCAATAATTCGGCACTTTAGTGCATATTAGTTTAAATTTAAATATTCTGCCTAAAACTGTCAGCGATGCACCGTCGTCAGGCAAAAACTCAGCACTGCATTTGAATTTAAATCTGCCATCGCTATTGACTAAGAGGTACACTATGATGTTAGATGGTACAATATGATGTCACAATGTCGTGAGTGTGTGTATTTGTTAGAGGCTCCACCCTCTCGGTCTGCTAGGCAACAGCATTTGTTGCATTTTTCAAACAGGAAGTGGGAGTTGAGTAAGAATCTGGTAGGGGGTGACTTGCTCTTTAAAGAGCAAGTCCACCCCCAAATCAACTTTTTTTTGCTGATAAACTATATAAGTGTGTGCCTAATTGTGCTGCAGACATGTGTGGTCAATAATTTGGTACTTCAGTGCATCTTAGCTAAAATTTAAATATTCTGCCTAAAACTGTCAGTGCTGCGCCGTCGTCAGGTAAAAACTCTGCAACGTATTTGAATTTAAATCTGCCACCGCTATTGGCTAAGAGGTATGCTATGATGTAAACTGGTCATTATGATGTCACAATGCCGTTGTGAGCATGTGTGTGTGTGTGTGTATTTGTTAGCGGCTCCGCCCTCTCGGTCTGCTAGGCCAGTGGTTTCTAACCTGGGGGCGCCAAAGCCTCTCAGTGGGTCGCCAGGACCTCTCCACTTTAAGGGGTTAAAACTTCATTTATTACTTGTTTATAGCCTACATTTTGCTCACATTTTTTTCATGAGTGAAAAGTTTACTGATATTAAGACAGGAAATAATTAGTACAGAAAAAGTAACACACTTTTAAGAACATTTTGCTCAGCTCACTGTTTTATTTTCAAGTGTCAAAAGTTCATTAAAGATAGGACTGGTTGATTAATCACAGCCTTTACAGTAAATAATCTAGTATAAACAGTAATATACACATTTCAGCACATTTTGCTCAGTGTATTTTTTATGTGTCAAATGTTTATTGAAAGGAATGATTGATTTATCAGTGTTTACAAGAAACTATGTGTTCAGAAAAGTAATACAAACTGTCAAGCACATTATGCTCTGTTTGGTTTTGTTAATGACTTTGTTCTGTACTGGAGCCTACTATTACTGTTATCTATTGAATCAAAGCATATTAAAATGTGCTTGAACAATTTTATCATTTATTAATACTGTTTGTACTGGAAGAGAGAATAGGAGGGGGTCGTCAAAAATTTTACTGGTAAAAAAAGGGGTCCCTTGGGAAAAAGGTTGGGAACCACTGTGCTAGGCAACAGCATTTGTTGCATTTTTCAAACATGAAGAGGGAGTGAAGTAAGTTTCTTGTAGGGGGTGACTTGCTCTTTAAGTGGTCATGCAAAAAAGCAACTTTGCATTTATCAATTGAAAAAACATTTTCTCTACGTCTAATCTCTACTGCACTAATGGACAAAGTGAAACTGAGACAGAAAACCCACAAGCATACAAGTATAAATTATAAAATGAACTTGAAAAAAATTATACACCGAACACTTTTACTGCAAATAATCACAAAAAAAGGGAATAAATACCATTTGTCTTGAGCATCGTCGCTTAATCGTCGGAAATTACTAGAACAGCATTCTCTGTTTGAGCAAGAACCACAGCAAAACTGAAGATAGGAGCATGTCTGATATGCATGGTAGATGTTGTATGAATCGGTGTAGGCTTTACAGTCATCGTCGCCCCACGCTGTAAAAGAGTAAACAATATTACGACTTAAAGCAGAGTACAGTGAGGATTTTGCCATAAAAATATTACATCTGATTACAAGTTCAGACTAAACTAAAGATGTGGAACACTGAAAACCCATTTTGTAATGATTATTTTTGATTATAATCATCAGTCACTCTGAGTGTTTCATGCAGGTAGAACATGAAAATAGTCTCCTACACCCATCTCTTGCATTAGTTTTTCATTTTGGACTCGCAATGCCATTATGTGTCGGTGCAAGGGCTCTCCAACAGGCATGCAGAGGGCGATGGAGACCACAAGCTTGTGATTGGTCAGGACACCGCTTCCTTTAAATTTATCAACAGCACCGCCATTACACCTCCAAAAAATAAAGACATTTAGCAGCAGACACAGAACAAACTGAAGGACGCCTCACAGAAAAAGTTATAAAATATGAACGTTTATTCACCCGTGACTAAAGGAGTACAAAGTTACGCAACAAGAGTTTTATTAGTAGACAGAAATGATGAGAAACGAGGGGTTTAGAGGTGCTGATCGCATGAAGAGGTGAAGGAGAATGAGGGATAATTTAAATTTAAACACAATCGTAAATACACTATCGTGGACCAAATATGTGACTGTAATGGTTGCAGGATACCCCAAAAAAGTGCTACGCCTTCTGTTGTCGTGGTAGGGAATTACTTTGCAACACTACCCAGGTGACGGAGAAGTCCCAAGTTAAAATGTCTTTGTCAAAGCGCGTGTGTGGCTCCACACTCGAGCTGATGGAGGAGTATAAATCAGCTTTTAAAGGTGTACTTCATTGTTCACATCTCTAGTTCCCTTTGACAAAACACACCGGATTTCTACTTTAACGGTGAAGCATCTCATGATCACAGGAAGGTGTGAAGCAATCAGAATTGCATTTCCTTGGCACCTTCTTCCTGTAATAGATGACATACGCTCTAGTTTCAACTGTCATACTAGTCAAAGCGATAAATGGGTCTATCTCGTTAAGTTAATTGGAGTTGTGGTGTGCTAAATGTGTGACTATGTAGGTACCATCTTAAACTGGGAAAAAAAAATAAAACATGGAAGATCTGAAGTACAAAACACATTATAAGAGTTTAAAGATCCAACTTTATACACTGATATTGTTTCCAACTGAAAGAAAATTTTAATACACCCCAACAAATGTATTATTTGATCTCTATTATTTTTAAAACATTACAGATACAGGAAATGACGTATTCTTGTTTGTCAGGCCCTTCTGTTAAATCACAAACTAGAAAACACACCCAATCTTTTAAATAATTGCTCCCAAATGAAAAACTTTTGCTTTTATTGTTGTAATTTATACCATTTTAACACTATAGTGAGTTTAGGTGTGCAGTCCCAAAACATTAAAGCCATTTTCTCCCATGTTATTAAAAAAACATTTATTTCCCTTCGAGTAAATAAAATGTGGAAACAAAGTCATGATAACAATTAATTTTAATACGTGTTCCTCTTAATAATTAAGCAACCCTGTGTATAGTCGTAGAACCAGGTGATGATATTTAACAGGCTAGCTGTGATAAACCGACGTTAATAATTCCACGTTAACTCGTGTTTTCTTCCGCTGTTAATCGAGCTTTCGGTCTCGTTTGTTGTCGCCCTTAATGTGTTCGGAGGAAGTCGCGTGCTTTAGCCTCGAGAGCTAACCAACATTAAATACACACACAAAAGCCGTTAATTAAAAGCCCCGAAAAGACCACGCTTACCGAATACACAAGTGGCGAAAGTCGCACAGAGAACTACTAACACTACATAAGGTAGTCCTCGCGCCATGGCTGCTATCAGAACCTCGGAGTGAAGGAGGAAACCGAAAGTTTGACAAACCGGAGCCTCCTTGCTGGAGGACGTTACGTGCGACGCGACGACAGCCGAAGCTCCGCCCACATTCAGAGTTTACTTAAGGTGGAACTGACATCCTATTTATGGGGATGAAACCATATCAGGTGGATTCTCTCATTGCCAGGTACCCTTTGGACGGACAGTGGTCTAATCCATGAGAGAACAGGAACAGAAAAGATAAACACAGTAGGGTTGGGTCCTCATCTGTATGGAAGACCAATAAAAAAACAAAACAAAGATATGGCAGCAATGACTGGAAACACAAATATTGGTAATGGAGAGTGACGACAACAGCAGTGTGAGGAAATGTGGTCAGCATAACTAAAGGGATGAGCCAGAATAACCCAAACTCCCCTGAACCCAAAACCTCTGTCTGACACCCAAAAGGAAAAATATATATAAAACAGAGCTTCCAGAGCTTCTTAATTAAGGTGCAAAATGTTACATTTAATTCTATATCTGACAGGAAACCAATGATGATGCTAACTAACATTTGAGGAAAAACTGTGCAATCTCTCCTCCTTAACTCTCAGCAGAATTTTGGATCGTGTAGGCTAATAAAGTTTATTCCAAAGACAAAAATAAAAATATGTAGATAAAGCTAAATCTAAAAAAAATGTAATATCCCCAAAATCAATCATAAACTGTTGAAAAATGCACCAAAAAGCAAACAAAAACAAAGGTTTGCAAAGATTGCAAATATAAGAGATGGCAACCTTGGACGGAATTTATTTTTTAGCCAAATTTGAACTGCAAGTCTGAATAAACATTTCTTGTAAAACTGAAAATCCCCAGTTCATGTTACAAATAATGAGAAAAGTCACATGAAACTGAATTTCTTGTGACAGACTGTGACAATTTTGTTTGGTAATCAGTTAGTTTATCTGTGAGAAACCACAATGCTTCACTGGTGGTGTACTGTAGTTTGAATCAGCAGGATCACTGTTTTCTACTGAATATTTCTGCAAGACCTTTATTGTCTTGAAACAAATAGTTAATTTAACCAGCAAATCAATTACCCCAAGACAGAGTCCCATGGCGTTTCACTCCTGTTCCTGACGTGTTTTCATTTGTGAATGATGACCGACAGTCATGGGAGTAGCTGGTCATATGAGGCCCAGTGTGAATGGAACTTTAACCCTCTGGAGGCAGGCGTTGCAGATTTGCAGCAGTTAAAACCTACCTGGTTACTCCACATATGTATTTCATGAGCATTTTTTAACTCAGACGTACCCCTGAAGGTGTTTATCCTTTTATCAAAACTTATTTTGAGCCTGAGAGGGTTCAAATTGGGACTTTCCATCAGTGGTGCAAATGTGAGACAAAAGCAGTGAAACGTGATCATCAAGTTAAAATCAACTTGCGTTTGAATGTGAATATGTTCTAGACAAACCATTTACAGATGTATTTATGTCTCAGTCATGACAGAAACTGGATGAACAGCTTTGTTGAACTATATATACAAATTCACCAACATAATCTACATTTCTGTTTTAGCTGCTTCAATTTCCTTAGCAGGAATCAGCCATTATGACTCGATCTAATTTCTGACTCTGAGAAACAATTTTTACAATTCATGTGTAACGGCTTAAGAAGAACTGGAGGGGGCAGCAGAGCACAGTAAATATTACCACACTTCCAGGTGAGGCAAAAGTAAATTAAAATATATAATCAGCTAACGTTTATTTCTTTTTAAAACCGATTTTTTTTAAAAAGGTCACAAAAACCCAGGGTGGTGTTGTTACAATATTCTTATCCTTAATTTATTTATACCGCTATTTATTGCTTGCCACGTGTGTGTGTGTGTGTGTGTGTGTGTGTGTGTGTGTGTGTGTGTTTGTCCTCACAAATGTGAAATTTATTCAATGAGTGCAAAGCACTGAAGTAAAGTTGGTGTGAGGTCACCATCAAATATAAATTGGTGGTACTAGTCAAATAGCAGTGGCACCTATGATTTGCTTTACATGTAAATTTCATTTTAACCTCCAAAAAGTAGCTCTTTTATGATAGTGATTAACTTTCACCAGTGTTTCTAAATGGTTATATATCAATTGTTGGACATGAAATCAATACTGGATAAGACAGACAAAATAATACTAAAATATTCAGATTCAGGTACTGTTTTTGATTAAAATACTACATGACTGTTATTATGAAAGCAAATTGAATCATAAAACCACTTAAATTTAGCAAGTTGTATTTTGCAACAAACTAAAACTATATAAACATAATTGTAATTGTATATCTCCATGTTATCTGACATCTTTGGAAACAAAACAAAAACATCACTGTTTAAACAATGTTTTGATAATGATGGCCTGGTGATATGAACAGCCTTTTGGATAATTACGGTGAACATTATAACGTTTCTAGAGCCAAAAGACTGGTGATAATTGGGTACTGTGATAATTAAACTGTATTGCCTACTTAAAATTTTCAACAATAAGGAAAATACAGGGAAGGTTGCCTTGCTGGAGGGGCACGTTTACAAACAAAAATAAAAATAAAAATAAAAAAATAATTCCAAACCATTGCTTCAAAACTTAGTGTGTGGTTATAACAATAGCTTAGTGGCAGTATTAATATATCATGAGGGTAGGATAAATTATTTTTCAACTTTATTGAAAATTACTATATCTATATTTACTATTTATATCTATATTTATTACTATTTACTACACTATCTATATTTTATATACGTTATCAATATACTACATCAATGGATTACAAGAAAATAATCTCGCGAGAATATGACGTAGGGGGTCGGTGGGAGTTTGAGGTATTATAAACCCTGGAACGTCGCCGTCCTTTTCGTTCGTCCTCAGTGCAGGATAACGAAGCACTGACAATCTACTCTCTATAAGGAAAACAAGTACATTATTTTCAGGTCACATCTGTGGAACGACCTTGTTTTTATCTTGTTCATCACACGGCATAGCAGGATTATACGACCTGGTGTTTATTTTAAAGGTAGGTTTATTAATGTTCTAACCTCATAGGCGGCGGCTTTAGCATTTTAGCTAACATTGAGCGAGGTCAACCGGCAGAGAGCACAGGAAGATCTTTAAATATGATTCAACTTTATGCTTTCTAAAAGCATTACGTTCAAAAGTTATTATTATTTTGTTAACACCAGGTACTTTACATGGCAGTAATGTAACTATATTTAACACAAATTATATTTATTTCAGGTTGCGAACGGGTTTCTGAGTAAAACCACGAGATTTTACCAGCTTTCACTCTTAAAGTAGTCTATAAATTGATATTTCTATCTATTTACAAACATTTTATTAGCCTTATAAACTTTATCTTTTGGATGAAACTGTACACAAGTTTTGGACTTTGTCCTGGAATGTGGAAATCTGACATCAACTGGGAAGGAGTCCCTGGGAGAGGAAGGGTTTTTAGGAATTGTGTAAAACTTTCCCCTTTGTTTTGTAAGTACACAGACACTTGTTAGAATGAGTAAAGAAAGAGGTGACTGGCAAGTGATTATTTTCCTAGGTGTGAAGGTGCAACACAGATCCTTTTTCATGGGTATTTTTAATTCTTGACATGGTCATTTAGAGTTTTAACATGAAAGGTTTCTGGTTTTTAAGACAAAACAAACCTTAATTTGACGTCAAAGGTTTATCAAAGACCTTGACAGTAGTGTGACTTATATTTTACAGAACAAGGCCCATGTATACGACTATTTCCAGAACTCCATTTTTAGATAGTGTGACCTATATTGGCTATTGAGCTAACTAATATTTAATATATTATTGTTTTATTTCTTCTAGCTCTTTTAACAAGCACACCACTTCTCATAATGGATGTGATCATACGCCGTTGCCCGTTCTTGGCTGGTATGCCTCAGGCCTTCTTCCAACAATCCAAAAAGTCTCTGGTCACTTATGCTCAACGCTGCCCCATCATGATGGAGCTGGCTTCGAAACCCATGGCCCCTTCAATGGCTCGAGCACTTTGCTCTTCAACTTCTTATCATCAGACTGACACCAAGGTTGCAACTGATGGTGAGTGTGATAAAGGACAAATGTTTAAATTCTCTATTTGAAAAACAAATGTACCGCTGTGTAGCATGCTGGTTTTTAACCCGCTGGAGGCAGGCGTTGCGGATTTGCAACAGTTAAAACCTACCTACCTGGTTACTTCACATACATATTTCATGAGCATTTTTTAGCTCAGAAGTACCCGTGAATGACTTAGTTGTTTGTCCTTTTATCAAAACTTATTTTGAGCCTGAGAGGGTTATCTGTACATGTACACATTTTTCCACCTGCAGCCCCTAAACAGGAAGTGGAGCCTAAGCTGCCTGCTGGTCATCCCGTGGCTCCTGCAGGTCAAGTGGTGGCCTCCAAATGTCCTTTCCTGACTGCTGAAATGAACCAGAAGTACAGCGGTGTGGTCCGCCAGGTTACCATGGAGTTCCAAGAGGATGTAGAGGAAGTACGCACTGTCCAGAAAGGTAACTTCTGGTATTTATTTATAACATTTTAGTTCAACAGGCTGTGTATTAACACTGTTCTTTTTATGTTCAGAGGTGTCACCTGCCCAGGTGAAGCAGCCATCCTTGACCAGTACCAGTAAAGCTGAGGAGCAAAGGAATTTGATGAAGACTCTCCTAAAGCAGCGTCCAAAGAGGGTCACCCACCTGCTGCAGGACAACTTGTTCGGCAGAAGTATGGTGTTTTTTTTTTTGCAGGCCAAGTCTTGCGTATTATCCAGTTTCCTTATTGATCAACTTTCTGTTGCAACAAAGTTGAGCATGTTTCACCTTCCTGTCCTGTCACAGTGTCCCGCTTCGAGTATGATGATTTTTTTGAGAAGAAGATTGAAGAGAAGAAGAGCGACCACACGTATCGTGTGTTTAAAACTGTGAACCGCTTGGCCACCGAATTCCCAATGGCTGATGACTTCACTGGCTCTCTGGAGGAGAAACGGGAGGTGTCTGTTTGGTGCAGCAACGACTACCTGGGCATGAGTCGACACCCTCGAGTTGCTCAATCCATCATGTAAGTAATAAAGTATTAGTTAGCATTGGGGATAGACCAATATATCATTCTACCAACACATCAGGGTTTAAAAAATTTTTGTCAAATTGGCGAACCAAACCGAGCTCATGGAGCAGGGCACCACGCATCTCATTGTCTAATCATTTTTATTTTTGTGGCGCTGTTACGACCGATTTGATCAGCGTTCGGTGTTCTAGTGGTGCTTTTGAGACCAGAAACATTCAGGTGTCCCACGCTGATCAGTCAGCCTAATAAAAACTAATAAATACACCTGAAAACAATTCTGACCTTCAGTTTACCACCGCCTTATTAGAGTAACACCTTTTAATGTTTTGAAGGTGTGACGTCTTTTCCTGTCATGTTCCCAAATATTACTGCACATTATACAGATTTGTTTATTTTATTAATATTGAGAGTCACAATTTCAAACTGTCGGTGCTCATTTGTGGTATTTTCCATGAATTGTTGTTATATGAGCATAGAGTTTATTTATTCGAGTAGGTGTAGTTAACATTTCCTTTACACAATTTGAAACGTTTTCAAAAGAGGAGGAATATGTGTAGAAATCGGCCAAAATCACCATCGCACATCGTCCATTGGCTAACCTCCACTTATACACATCAGCAATAGAAAAAACCCAAATCAGTTGATCTCTAGTTAGCCTGCGTAGTCTACCATGAACATTTGATCCAGTTCTCTTTGTGCAGGGTCTGTTATGCAACAAGGCAAATGTTTAATTTACCTTGTCTGCTCCACTGATTGCCTTGAAGCTTTTGCCCCGCTCTGAGTTGCAATAGAAAGAACTAGAAAGGCTGAGATTCTGTTAGTAAGTAGACATAACCCCACTGCTACAAGTGGCCACTCCATTTTATTGAATAGAGTGGAATTTGGCTAAAGTTCAGCTGATAGTTTCTTTATACATTCTTCGTCTTGTTTGAGCCTGTCTGTTTTTCTCACTCTTTTTTGTGTTTTAAGCCTTTTATGCGAGAAAGCTATTTATGTAGAAATTCTTAGTATATTTGAGCAATTCCTTATCTGCGTGTTGTCTGTTTCCAGGGATACTTTACATAGGCATGGGTCAGGGGCAGGAGGGACCCGGAATATCTCTGGGACCAGTAAATTCCACGTGGAACTGGAGCAAGAGCTGGCTGATCTTCACCAAAAAGACGCAGCGTTGCTCTTCACCTCCTGCTTTGTCGCCAATGACTCCACCCTTTTCACCCTCGCCAAGATGCTGCCTGGTAAATGAACCGTGCACTGCACAATTATTAAACAAAAAAGAGAGAAAAGGACTTTGTTTTGAAGTTTGCTGATTCCCTTTATCTATTTAATCTGTAACCAGGTTGTGAGATTTATTCGGATGCAGGCAACCATGCGTCCATGATCCAGGGCATCAGGAACAGTGGTGCTAAAAAGTTTATATTCCGTCACAACGACGTGGCTCATCTACGCGAGATGTTGCAGAAGGGAGACCCTGCCAAACCCAAGATTGTGGCCTTCGAGACCGTCCACTCCATGGATGGTGAGTTTTAGTTGTCTTTCTTTTATTTATCTTGTTTTGTTTACCTCTGCCACAGGAACGTTCTGACTGGACCAGGGTGCTGGATGACCCGCTTTGTCCTATCATTTCTCCATGTCACAGGTGCTGTGTGTCCTCTAGAGGAGATGTGCGACTTGGCCCATGAGTTTGGCGCCATCACCTTTGTTGATGAGGTTCATGCTGTAGGTCTATACGGTGCCAGAGGAGGCGGGATCGGGGACAGGGATGGGGTTATGCACAAGATGGATATCATTTCAGGAACTTTAGGTAAGAATCAAATCTCTTCTAAAGCAGAGTGATTATATTTAACTTTTTTAACATGTCCACGCTACTGATGACTAGGGTTGGGCATCATTTGATTTGTGAACGATTCCGATTCCAATTCCTCGCTTCGATTCCGGTTCCTATCGATTCCCAATTCCGATTCTTTGAAGACAGGACATGTTTTACATGAGCCAGCTAACCACGATCCTACTAGATGAAATCTTAACTTCAACATGAATTCTAACTCTACAAACAATAACATCGCCATCACTTAGACAAAAACATGTTTTGGAGAAAAATTGAAAAAGACTTGCAGAACAACCAGTGTGTTTGTTTCTGACCACGACCAAAGTCTGGAAGAAGCCTCTGGGATGAGAGGCTAAATGTCTCCAACATATCCAGAAACGTCCAGCTGTTTTCAGCTAAAACTCTCAGGATGATCATGTCCAGGATGACTGAGAACTACACCTCCATGCTGCAGCAGCATTCAGACAGAACAGAAAGTGAAACCTAAATGTAGCTGCTGTCAGTAACTAACAGATTTTAAACATGAAAACTCTCAACAGAAATAGTTCAGAAAGGAAATTAAAATGTTCACAACTTTGTGTGTGATTTATTATTATTATTATTATTATTATTATTATTATTATTATTTATTGTGGCAGAAGCTGGTGTGGTTCACCACAGAGAAGCTTGTTTAGCATGATGACTTTTTTCTACAGGTTATTGTTCAGCCTTCTGACGCTTTGTGTGTGTTTTTATTTCTGCAGTGAGACAAACTCGCCTCACACCGTCTAGAGTTTGTTCTTTAAAGCTTCTATTAAATCCACCGTGTTGACGTATTTTAACAAGTTTCCTCTACGCTGCAGGAGTTAAAGTTTATATTACGGAGTAAAAGTTCGGCAGACGCGTTTGTTTATATTTGGCCGCTGCGAGCCGGGTGGGGGGAGGGGGGACTCGGTGCTGCACACAGACCGCTGGTGTGATCAGCTCTGAAAAGCATTGATCACAATTTGCAGATCACGTTTATTTTTCACGGAGATCGGCCGCGGATTCCTCACCGGCATTCTAGGAATTGAAACTAGGAATCGAAATAAAAAAACGTTGAGGGATTCTGGGAAAAATGAACAGTTGGAACCGGTTCCAATCAATGCTCAATGCTCGATGCCCAACCCTACTGATGACTTAGACAAATGGTCTTGATTTCTACTATGGTGTTTTATTTTGCTCTCTTCTTTGGGCCAAACCTCCCAGTCACTCCCAGACTCATGGTGCTCTTTGTGTTTGTGTTATCGTGAGGATTAAACCTCAGTTGTTGTCATCCAATATGCCAGAGAGCTCAAAGGAGCAGGAGCAACTCTGCTGTTGCTAGGAGACCGTGGACTCTCATTGCGCTCTGATTGAGTTTCCTTGTGTGGCTGTCAGGCTGAAGGGTTGATTATTTCTGCAGCTCTTGTGTAACAGCTGTTAGAGAGAGGTTAAAAGTGTGTGAGCTTTTTTATAAATCAGTGTTTTTAAATTAGTTTTCAATGATTACTCCAAACGTTTTTCTAAATCGCAGAATTAATTTATGTCCTCTTCATTTGCAGGCAAAGCTTTTGGTTGTGTGGGCGGCTACATTGCCAGCACCTCAGCCCTGGTGGACACGGTGCGCTCCTACGCCGCTGGTTTCATCTTCACTACCTCCCTGCCACCGATGCTCCTGGCTGGAGCCAGACAGTCCATCCAGGTCCTGAAAAGTGAAGAAGGTCGCACGCTGAGACGTAAACACCAACGTAATGTCAAGCTGCTCAGACAGATGCTGATGGACTCAGGGCTGCCTGTCGTTCACTGCCCCAGCCACATCATCCCTATCCGGGTGAGCTAACGTACACGCGGCCAGGTTAATTCTACATAACAAACCCTTATTTACACTTTTTAATCACATTATGTGTCTTGTTTTTTCATCTTAGGTGTCAGACGCTGAGAAAAATACAGAAGTGTGTGACATCATGATGAACCGCCACAACATCTATGTGCAAGCCATCAACTATCCCACTGTCGCAAGAGGGGATGAGCTCCTGCGCATCGCCCCAACTCCTCACCACACCCCTGAGATGATGAAGTACTTTGTTGGTGAGATGATGGCAAAATAAAAAAAAACAAGCTTATTGTTATTAAATTCAAAATAGGATCTTCAAAGTTCATTTGGAAATGAAATGAAACACAGGACCTGAGTTTGTGTTTGTCTCTGCAGAGAGGCTGGTGCAGACGTGGAAGGAGGTGGGGATGGATCTGAGGCCCCACTCATCAGTAGAGTGTACCTTCTGCCAGCAGCCACTGCACTTTGAGCTGATGAGTGAGCGGGAGAAATCCTACTTCAGTGGCCTAAGCCACCCTATATCAGCCTGCGCGTAAACACTACTAAACCACTGCTGGCTCGGAGCGGCACATACACACTCATTCCTCTATCACTGTCATAGAATGTATTACTCATCTTTGATATGTCCTATTATGTGAGCTATTTAAAATATTCTATGTTCAGATGTTCTATAATAACCTCCAAATAAAATATTAAGAAAATAAATGTTTGCATTTTGTGGACTGACTGCTTGGCTGAGCCCAGAGTGAGTTGGACTTGCATCAGCATGGAGACTGACTTCCTTCCTAAGTGCAGGAATAGCACGTCTTTACCAGTTCTGACAAACAGGTGGAGGGTTTAAGCTTCATGATGAGCCGTATAGCTGAGGCTTTGGTACCTTGAATCACCTTTGGTTGTTTACCTCCTTGGGAGGAGATTAAAGTCTGTGTTCTAAGTGTTGCAAGGGTGATGCCTAAGGCCACCTCCTTAATTTAATCATGAGCAGTAGTGTACACACTCTTAAGTCCAGTTAGGAGCTCTTGAGACCTTTCAATAGGGAAGCTTGCAGTGTAACAAACAGAAATCTCATCTCAGAAAGACTCGAGTAAACATACAAGATTGGGATGAAAGTGGGGAGAAATCTAGCAATAAAGTATTTCAGACAAACTACATTGTCAAAATTGAGTCAAATCTGTTTAAAACAAACATTTCATAATTTTCTGGTCAATGTGGAGCACATTTCCGTGGTAAAGTTATAAATGATTGTACCTGTTGTAGATTTTGTACTTGATTGCCATTTTGAAACAATAGCTGCTGTAGTTGAGATCTAACTGCTAGTCTGTGAACAGCAGTCTTTAAATAGCTCTATTCTAGCATTGTTGGTTATTTATGTGGAATTTAGTAGTTATTTAAAGGCAGTAGCACTTCTTGTGCATCCAGGGCTCAGGTCAGATTTCCTATGTATTCTGACTGCCTTGTAAAGGAAAATTTGACCACAGTGTAAAAGTTCAGGTTGAGATGGGAGCAGCCTCAGCCTGCTATTGGGCTGGGCCCATTTGGACCACAATGACAAAATGGAAATGCTTTTCTTAGTGGAACCACTTCAGGCCAGACCCTTAGAGTAAACTGAGACTGTAAATGTTCATTAAAATTAAATTTCATGACTAGTGTAACATTTTGCAGCTTAAACTTAGCCATTAGCTTGTCCATCTTGCAGAAATGTAAACAAAAGCTTTCCAAGCAACTGTCCTTCCCAGGTAAAACAGTCCACATTTATCATTTTTATGTATAAATAAAAGAGAAGGTTTTTCGAAGATGATAATATGTTTAAAATGTTTTAAACATCACAATTGGCTTATGAACCTAGAAAAATAGGTCACAATAGAGTCTGGCTCTACAAACAGGCTAAATAAAGATTGAGGAGCTTCATTATTTTCGTACTCTGGTGCTGAAAGTGAAACACAAGGTCAAATGTTTTCTTTTTCTTTGATTGGTTCTCATCAAATCCCAAAATAAAAATGTTTTCAGTGCTTTTAATGAAAGAATAGATCACCAGTCTGTTCAAGTGTTATCCCCATGTGGGTTGTGTTTGTTTTTCAGTTGCGTCAGACCAGGTGATTTAAATAAAAAGGCCCCATTCAGTATCTTATTACTCAGTTTTTGAAAACACACAGCGTGATTTTACCAGGTGTAATCTTACGCAGCGTGAGGTGGACCTACTAACCCAATAACCTCTAAAATCAGGCAAAGATTACATAAAGGTGACCGTAAAACCCATATTCCCCCAAAATAAAGGTCACACGGACAATAAAACATGAGAAAAACGTCTCACTTTTTCCACACAAACAACGTTTAACTCTGAAGATGAACTATTGTTAACTCAGAGTTACTTAGCTCTAAAAAGATGACCTTACACTGTTTCTATTACAACAAACAACCGTGTCCCAACTTGTCAGGTGTTGTAAATATGGTTGGCTCATAAAAATGCAGAACATCTCTGAAAATGGAAGTGAGAAACACGTCTGGCCGTTTCAGAAAAGCCATGTTGGCTTACCGGTATTAATAAATGTTTCCACTGTGAAAGCAAATTCTCATGAGTTTGCATGAGGGAGCAGCTGCGTGTCACTAAAACAAGACTCGTCGGGTCTTCACGTTTTCTAATTTTAATAGTTGTTTCATAAAGTTTCATTTAAAATGTGCCGAACATCAATGATGTGAAACTGTTTGGTATTAGAAATAAAAGAGTAGCAAAGAAAGAAAAGAAAATATGGATAAATAACGTATCAGGAAATGCACCAAAAATATGTTTACTGGATTTGTTTTAGGAACGTGTTACTTCTAAGTTCATTTGAAAATGTTTTCACTTGAAAGCATGTGAAGACATTGGATGATGTAAAAGCATTTCAAAATGGACACAAAGGAAGTAGTTATACAAAATCCAGAAGCTAGTTAACTAGTAAATACTTTTTTTCTAAATGTGAAAAAGCAGCATTTCATCTGTTTCAAATCAGAACAAAAAGCTTATTTGTGATGAATGGCAACGAGCCTGTCACACCACTGAGAAGGAATTTCCTCCTGGGAGTCTGGGGATGGAATCCCACCCGGGCCCTCGTTTCTCCACCTTGCGACAAAAGGTTAGGTCAGTTAGGTCCTGAAGCAGCAAAGCAGCCCCAGACCATCACTTTACCACCACCGTGTTTGGTTGTTGTTGTCATGTTTCTCTGAAAAGCAGTGTTAGTTTTTCCACAGATAACAGAACATGACACAAAAGTTTCACTTTTGTCTCTTCGGACCACAGAATATTTCTAATAAAGTCTTGGGAACAACTAAGAGGCTTTGTAGCGAATTTGAGATGGACGTTGTGTTCTTTATGGTGATTGGATGTGTTTAGTCATTGATGTTATTTCTTATTTCTGCGTGGCTGGTGAAACCAAAGACCTGGTTGTTGTTGGATACCCTTGGAAGAAAGAAAGAAAGAAAGAAAGAAAGAAAGAAAGAAAGAAAGAAAGAAAGAAAGAAAGAAAGAAAGAAAGAAAGAAAGAAAATGATCTTTTATATAGCGCCTCTAGATAAAAATCACAAGGCACTTCACAAAAAAACAAAAAAATTCAAAATGCAAAAAAAATAAAGTTAAAAGAATGATTAAAAATAAGGTTAAAATTAGAAGAAAAAATTATAAGAATTGTGATTAAAAATCTTCCTATAGTAAATTAAATTATCTAAAAACCTGATGATTATCTTTGTCTAATTTTTATTTATTTTTTTCTGTGCTGATCTGATGAATTTAAATTTGCCCAAAATAAATCAAACAAAAAAAATTGTGATTCTGTGACAGGACATTTACATCAAATACAACACTACACATATAAACTAAAATGGTCAAAAGAAAAGATCCATCCATTTTCTGTACCCACCTAACCACGCAGGGTTGCAGGAGGCCTGGTGCAGGTGGGCATGGATGTAATTTTCACTTTAGAAGTGAGGGGGACATGGGGGTTCGGGGGGGGGGGGGGGGGGGGGTATCTTCACAGTATTACAGTATGCTCTAATGGGAAACAGGCTTCAACACAAACTGTTGTTTTCCACTTGGTCCTAGAGCTCAACCAGTGTCAATTTAATTTAGCGTAATATTGTTTTTGGATGGTAAAAAGTGCAGGGGTCAAAACTTGACTTTGGAAAAAGTGGGGGGGGACATGTCCCCCCCCCCCCCCCCCCCCCCCATTATGCCCATGCAGGTGGGTACACCCTGGACAGGTTGCCAGTCTATCGCAGGACAGCACAGCGACAAACAGGACAAACAACCATGCACACAATCACATTTAAGGACAATTTAGTGAGACTAATCAAACTGACAGTCATGTTTTTGGGCTGTGGGAGGAATCCGGAGAACCTGGAAAGAACCCAAGTATGCACAGGGAGAACATGCTAACTCCATGCAAAAAGACCCCAGGTTGGGATTTGAACCTATAGGACCTTCTTGCTGCATGGCAACAGTGATAACCACTGTTCTACTGTGCAGCCCTATGGATCTGAAGATCTGAATGGTTTTTCAAATCAACTTTGGTGAGGGGAGAAATCCTACTTTAGCGGCTCAGGCATCTGGTAGGATGTCTCCTAGTGAGGTTGAGCACATCCAACCAGGGGAAGACCCAAAGGACAACCCAGACCTTCACATATTCTGGGTTGCTCTGAAAAAGATGAGGTAAACATTTCATTAGAATAAAAATGTGTGTTTTTTATAGAGACAAAGAAGAACTGACATTTGGTTTTGGAGTTTAACTTTTCTCAGTTCTTTACACATTCTATATCTTTGATGATAGAACCTTCTGAATCTTCTGAAAGACATTTTCCTTTCTTTGTGGGAATTTTTTTTCACAAGACAAAGGAGAGAGAGAGAGAGAGAGAGAGAGAGAGAGAGAGAGAGAGAGAGAGAGAGAGAGAGAGAGAGAGAGAGAGACCTGCTTGTTTGTCCCGGATGGAATCTGACCTCAGAGGCTGCTTTTCCACGGATACTCGATCCTGCGTAGCTGCCAAGCTTCACGGTCCAAACAAAAGCGAGAAAGGATGAAAGAACAAACTCACAGTGACTGTTTACAAGAGTATTGAACTTGGTAAAAACACTAAATCACAAGCCCACTTGGACCTGTGAGCATTTTTAGAAAGTTTTAATTAAAAGATTAATTTTACAACAAAGGTAGCATCCTGATTTGTATGTTTCTTTTAACTAAGCTACATTAAATCACTGAACCAGTAAATCTAAAATCTCAGTAATTTCCTGTAAATAGAGAGAACTATTTGTAAATCAGTGCACACTGTTTTCATAAAAAGATCATTTTGAATACCCAGTAATGGACTGTAGATGTGACAGTTCCTAAAGGGATTCCTCACTGTTCTTCTCCCAGTGATCCAGCTCTTCCTGGAGTATCCAAGACCAACTTTGTTCCCAGTGAGTACTGGTTTGGTCTGTACTGGTGTCTGCTGTGGGCTGTGACCAGAAAACCACTAAAAACAAGCAACCAAGATGCATCCTAAACCACTTTCTTAACCACACTGTCCGACTTCTTTTAATGAGGAGGAGCAGCGACTATACTTTAAGCACCCCATCTCCAGGCCAGGCCACTCTACAAAGGAAGCTGGGATCTTTTGGTCATGATCCAAATCCCTTGGACTCAGGTGAGGGTTAGAACACGGACGGACCAGTAAATTGACAGATTTGTCTTTTGGCT